CCACGAACAGCCCTAGCCAGAGTGTGCCTGGGGAAAGGAGATGGTGATCCTGCCTTTTTCCCCACTACAAATCCCCACACCAGAGGGCTGGGTCTTCACAAGGCACTGCAGGGGAGGTAGTAGTGACTAGGAGGCGGAGAAACCACTCTGTTGATAGGAGGGTGACTTGGCTCTGCCGTCTGAACAGTTTGTTCCTGACAGCCGGTGTGCAAGTATAAGAAATCCCAGTGCAGTCTTAAGTCCTTTCAATATGATAAGGAGGCATCAACACATATGCTAAACTAGTCAAGCCCTTCCAAGTGTGTTTTTCTACAGCCGATGGGGCTTCTTCTGGCTTTTCCAGAGAGTGGACCCTGAGATTTACTTTGATTGTGGAAAAATCTGGCTGTGCCATCCTGATCCATGATGGCCCAGAGCAGAGATGTGGCTACTAGCTGGGTTGAAATGCTCTGGGTGAGGTAAAGATCAGCCTCCATTAGCTAAGCCGTGTCACTGACTCCTCTGGTATCATGCTTGTCATGAGGACAAGGTTATTGTGTTCCTGTGATCTGCTCTGCCCTCAGGAAGGGCCCGACATCCCCCCGATGTACTCCTGCCCGTCCTTCTGCAACTTCTGCAGTGGGGCTGCGTCTTGAATCCCTGCTAGCTGTTCGTGGACAACAAAAGGCAGGATTCACAGGGAAGTTTAAGAGCTCAAAACTTGAATTTTGTTTTAGTCTAGCATGAAAACCTTGAAAGTTTACAAATCTTCTGTGAAATAGAATTCTAAAAGAAATTTTTGATTGGGCAGGACTGACTCATAATCCCAGTTTCCTCTGTAACAGTAATGGCAAGTAAAATAAAAAAAGCCTGGCACAGACATTCATTTTGAAAGGCAAAACAAATATTTTACTGCCTGAACTTCCCTTACCGAAAATCCAGGACAACTGACCTGCCAGGGCAGAGCCATCTGGTTTCAAGGGAATGGCATTTTCTGATTCAAAGGTTTGGTTTACTCCTTCCTCACTAGTTCTGCTCATTTACAGCCAAAGTCAGAGAATTCATGGAGGGAGACCAACAGGATCTTCCATTTTCCTATAGCATCAGAAGCAGGAGGGAAGAGAAAGGGAATGTCCTGCTTGGACAAAGCCTGTCCTGTGCTGTCAGGGGGAGTGTGTGTCCGTCTCTGCATCCTTCTCTGCAAAATGCTAATTTCATTCATGGCCCTGGGGCTCCCATTTTTCTTTTTTGCCATCTCTGGCATTGGGAGTCCTGGTAAAGAAGGTCCTGGACCTTGTTCTCAGCTCAGCAGGACAGATACACTGTTAATGTGTTAGCAAAGTCAAGTCTTTCACTAGGCAAAGTGTCAGAGGGCTAAATGCAACAGCTGGATGAGAAGGTACAAAGAAAACGAGATTTCAGAGAAGGAAAAATGAATGTGAGGCACTGTATGGAGGTGAGGCTCTTGATATGAATTGGTTGGAGAGAGAGCAGGGAGGACGGTATCTAGCTACATCTCACTGCCACAGGCTGTAGGACACACTCCAGCAGCTGGGCTGCTCTGCCCTACCTTCCCTTTGCTACGAAGAAAGGGCACAAAGCTATACAGCTCCTGTGTGAGCTACTGACCCAAATCATCAATTACATGCATACTCCCCAGAGTGGGTTCGGACAAAGACTCAAAGAGGGTATCACAGGAGTGAAATGAAAGCTAAGAGCTGAGGCTAGTTTTACCTTCCTAAAATACATCAGGTCCTGACCTTGGCATCATCATCCAGCTTAGTCTGTGATCTTGAAACGGCTACTTTCTGTCTTTCATTTTTTGTCCATTTTCTGTGATAGTCCCTATTCCAAGTTGTTAATGTCTGCATCCTGTGGTAGGGCTCCTTAGGCTCATCTCTGAGGATCACAAAGTCAGCCAGAGTTCCCATGTCTGCCATTAATGTGAAGGATTTTCATACACACATTTGCAAAATATCTACCAGATTTCTCCTTTGTACTGTTAAAAATTCAAGTGTAAGCAAAAGTTTTAAACTTTTACTGTCAGTGGCTTAATACAGACTTCCTACAAGAACATGTGAGGTGGAGATGTGGCAGCACTACTACAGCTCTAACGACATCAGGAAAATATAGACAGGAATTGAGACAAACCCCTGCATCTTCTCTGTTCAACAGGAAAGAGAAGGCTAAAATGCCACCTGAGGCTTTTTTCTTCTTGAAACCTTATGTTGCATGAAGTTCAACATTTAAAGCAGACAGCAACTCAGGGGGATGTTTTTTTCACATTTTTATTTACTAAGGTTTTATTGTGTGTTTTATATTGCAAACCCCACCCCTAGAACTCTTCCCTCCCTTCCCCCCAAAATAAAACAAAAAATAACAATAATAATAAATATAGTTCCACCTACTGAGACAAGCCTAGTGTTGACTGAGGTCCAGTCAGAATAACTCAATATTGGCTACTGCACTGCTAAGAACTGGAAAATCAAACCATATCCCCGTGAAAAACAAAGCAAAGGAACCCAACTGAAGAAGGATGTTCACCAGACTGGTGGATGGAACACACATCTACCAGAGACAGCCCTCAGGGTGTTTCTGTGCACCTCCATTTGTCTGAGTGTCCACAGGGGTTGTTGAGATTCAAGTACCAATGCAGCAGTCACAGGACAGTCATCCACGAGGGCTTGGCATGGCTGGGCTGAAGACCTTTCCCACCTGCTTATACGAGATACCCAGACCCAAACAGCTTAGCTCCCAACCTCTTGAGGTGCTCGTTCTAGGGGCCCTCTAGCACATGGGGAAAAAAGACTGATAAAACAAATATAAAACTTAAAAGGATATTGTGAGTTTTCCTTATAGGAACTGCCTCATACCTATGAAAATATGAGAGGGTCTGTGAGTCTGCTTCGATTCCGTCAACTGATTCTGTTTCAAGATGAACCTGTACATATTTGGAAAAGCAGGATCTATATATTATAATTATCACCTGCCAATCAGTCCTACGTAAGGGTCAAAATTGACATGTATTTTAAAACTAGGAGAGATATATATATATATATATATAAATATGTGTGTGTGTGTGTGTGTGCATGTTTACACATGTGCATAAATAGACTACATATGTGTATAACTATACTGTATATATAAAAGCATGTGTGTATTTATAGATATATATATATAAAATCTATACACACACACACACACACACACATGCACCCCTCCCACCACACACACTCACACATATACAGTTGTATGTAACTAGTAGAAAAAACATTTCTAGAGTTCCCCTGATCCTTTAAGGAAGACCAAAGCTGATTACATCTGAATTCTGAGCCACCAAAGCACATTGAAGCAGGAGTGCCCAGGAGTGCTTGCAGCAACATTCAAGATACAGGCACATATCATGAGTTTTGCAAACAATTCGGTATAAAAAACAACTGTCAGCCAGTGTTTTAGGAGAGAGTTGGGGGGTGGGAGGAGGTAAGAGAGGGAGTTATATGGACCTGTATCATTATCGTGATAATAGCGCGTTTTTTGGTACTGCTGCATGAAGTCCTGCTTTCCCTCTGAGGGCTGGAAGGACCCCATGATAGCTGGAAACAGAGGGAGGCTGGACATGTGTTTCTAACAAGTGTTAGAATTGAGCACCTGACTCTTTACAGTGAGGTGGCCGGGGACACCTCTTGGCCTAAATAAAAACAAATGAGAAAGAAAGGATCAGAGTAAAAGAAAAGGAGACATTTGCTCTAGAGGTAAAGGCTGTAGCTTCTCAGTGCTGTGTGCACCCCATGGCCCCTCTACTGTCTGCATCCCACTTTGACTGCCTTAAATCAGGGGAGCCCAAAACATCCAGCTCAAGGTGTCTGTCAGGCCCCAGATGTGTCCAGTGACGCTGCAACTGCAGGGCGAGACCAAAGCCAGTCAGGTGCAGGCTGTTATTGCTGGTGAAATCAAGAAAACTATTTCAATTCCCCCATGAGAGGAAAAGGTCGGACCATGGCTGGCCAAATTTCTGGTCTTATCTGGTTTAATGGGATAAACATAGTTGCAAATCTGGAGGATTCTTGGCTGGGAACCAGTATTGCCCTCAGTGCCTCAAAGCTCAAACGCCCCTGGGTTGAGGAAGAGGGCTGGGGTGACTGCACCCCACTTTTCAATCTTTTTCTACCCATTTCTCTTCAAAGTGGTCAGCCCATGGACACTGAGACATTAAAAGGGAGAGGGAAAGTTAAACTGCTGCCTGTTTCTTCATCCCTCCCCTTGCCAGGAAGGCAGCACACACACCTTCCAAACCATGGAGATGTTGAAACTTGGGCTCTTTTGCTGGCTGGGGCCAGCTGCCTGGTCCCACAGCCCACATCCACGATGCCTACGGAGAGAATATTCACTGCCTTCCTTGTGACTTGCAAGGGACTGCTTCTTGTTCCCACTAGAGCATCAGTGGAATAAGAAAAAGACAAGCATCTGAAGTTAGGCCCGTCCATCTCCTGTCACCTTTACCTTCTTCAGATGGAGTCCAAACAAAAACAGCCCTTCTGAAATCCCCGGAGGGGACTGCATCGGTGAAACTCACCCCTCTTCTGGCTTCCTCTGCAACCTGCTGAACACAAGAGAAAGCCTGGGAGGAAATGCCATCCAAGTTCCCCCCATAACTAGTTGCTGCAGGCCAGGTTCACAGCTGGTGCAAAGCAATGCGAAGCTGAGGCCAACCACAGCTGTTCTAGAAACACCAGCTACAGGCCTGACCTGATGTTCCCTTTTATGGCCCACACCAACCTTGGATCTTTGTCTCAACAGGAAAACCTTTTTTGGTGGCTTCTATGGCTGATCGTTCATATGCTCCAGCTCAGGTACACAACTTGTCTGTGCGTTACCTCGTCGGATTAAATTTGCTCATATCCTTTTGTTCCATGTATGAAAATATTCTATAAAATCAAGTGACCAAAAATCTATAGCTCTAAGAATACCTGGTTATCTTCTTTTTTTGTTGTTTTTTGTTTGTTTGTGTCTCTGTGTGTGTGTGTGTGTGTGTGTGGTTTTTGTTTGTTTCTAATCACAGTTAAACCTAAACAAAAGATATGGAGAAAAAAGGGGGGGAAGAAAAGGAAAAAATGACTCGTGAAAGTCTAATCAGGAACTGAATTGCACGGCTGACATAACCAGCTCTCAGAAGGAGTCCTCACAAATTGGAGGGCAGTTTGGATCTGACAGGTTCCAGATCCCCTGTGAGCACTATGGATTCTTTCCGCCCACCAGCAGTCAGAGAAGCGGCGCCTGCAGCGCTGGCCCCAAACACCAGCGGATGTGGTAAAGAACCTGAGGACATCTGACGGGGTAAAGTCACACGCCCGGGAATTGAGCTACAAGGCTTCCCAAGAAGTCCAGTCCCTCCACCAGGAAAAGGAGAGAAGCTGGAAACAGATTCTCTAGAGGAATGAGGAGAACTTTGGCTCAGTGTCTGAGCCAGCTCCTGGGGCAAAGATGGCTGGGAAGCAGAAATCAACTTGATGTCCTGGTTGAGCCGTCCCGGCGGCACAGGCGGCGTGCTCTTGGACTGCAGGATCTGCGGAGGTGGGCTGGCGGTCTGAGGCAGGAGCAGAGAACCGTGAGAGCCTGAGGCCCCGGAAGGGCCACACTGAAAAGTTCTTGTTGCCACTGGGCTCTGACTGGGAGGACTAAGGCCAGAAGGGGTGTAACAGGGAGAGGCGACACCAGACTGCTGTAGTGGAGACATGGAGGCAAAAGGTGGCCGTTCCTGGTGGAGCTGGGCTATCGTTCCAGTTAAAGATCCTAATGCACTTGGATGTGTTTGGCACAGGCCTGAGGACGGCCCACCAGAGCCCTGCGCCAGCTGGCTTAGGCTGGAGGATGGAGAGTTGGAAGAAGGAGGGGATTGGAAGTGATTAATTCCCCCCAAAGTCCCACTGCCCGAGAGCTGCTGTAACTGTCCCCCCTGCAGTGGTCTTGTGGTGGGCTGGAACTGATTGAGAAGACTGGGGGGTGAGTTTGATGAGAGCTGGGTGAGTGATGCTGATGGGGAGCTAGTTGTGGCTTGCTGGAAGTGCCCAAATCCACTGCTGGAAATGGCTGGCGGCTGCTGCTGCTGCTGCATGGGCTGAGCTGTACCTAGGGGTGACCCGGAAGGTGCGTGCTGGAACTGGCTCAGTCCCACCGAGGATGCACCACTCAAACCCGGCTGGCTTGAGCCGCCCGGAGGGGATCCCACCTGGAACTGGCCTAAGCTGGTGGCAGCCGAGAATCCTGCGAGCTGCTGGATGTGGAAGGAAGAGGACGACGGGGTTTCTGCTCCTGGTGTATGCAGCTGGGATGGAGTACTGGAGGGAGAGCCAACGGCAGAAGGACCAGTCGACGGGATGAGAGACTGAAGCCTTTTCAGCTGTCTTGGAGTCTGGTTGGATTGCTGCCCCAAGGAACCCAGGACAGACACCGGAGGACGGAAGATGGCTGTCGGGAGGCGTGGGTGGTGTGTCAGAGCTATAGCGACAGAAGTGGTGGCTGCGGCAGCTTGCAGGGGTGCCTGGATCAGTGGGGTCCAGATGACAGGGGTGGGTGTGGATGCGGCAGCGGCAGCAGCAGCGGCGGCAGCCTGGACGTTGTGAGCACAGTGTGCCATCTCTCTGTCGTGCTGCACGATCTGCTGGATGATCTCATTCTCTTGGTAGTTGAAAACACCCGAATTGAGGTCATGCTGGACTTTATGCAGCAGAATGGAATTTTTCTTGCCTGTAGAGAAAGTGAAGAGAGAAAGAGTCATTCTGATATGTCAAAGCATAGGAGGCTTCCTCAAAGCTTCCTGCCAGACTTTCCTCGAACTGTTGGCACTGTCTCTCCTCCACTGTCGTTATGGGATCTGTGCACAGTTTCTGTGCTCCAGCAACAAGATGACAACAAACATCATGTCTTCTGCTTTCGTGGTATGATCAACAGACCTCAAGATCCCAGAAAGATATGCCCAACAGGACACATATTCTGAGGCAGTAAAGCCACTTTGGTAAATGTGGCAGACCTGGAGCAAAGCTTATGAATCTGGAAGATTTCCATTTTGCACCTCATAATCTGAACTCCCATTAGAAAAAGAGAATAAATCTAAAGGATGCAATTGTTTTTGTGTGTGTTTGCAAGGGAAAACCTCAAAAATATAAAACCAGTAAAGTCTCCTGAGTCTTCAGCTACTCTCCTTCAGCTTATGCATTTTCCTCATCTGTCTCATGCAACTTGTTCACTCTGGAGTGAAATATGTGGTTTTAGTTGAAAGTAATGTTCTCTATGAATAAGGAACAGAAGGACTTTTATGTGCTGGAAAAGCTCAGCTGGCCCAAGGAAGAGACCTCAGATGTGCTGCAGCTACCATCTTACCTGGCCATGGCCTTCTGGCCCCAGCTTTAAGGGAACTGCAGGCTAGCAAACATCACATTCCGGCTGGACTTCCTAGCCTGCAGCAAAATATTAGCTCAGCACTTTGCCTTTTCAATGGTCTGGAAAATGTGGCGTAATGAGTTTGTCTGGTCTGAGAGTGCACCTGGCACTGAAGGGATGCACTCTCCTGGACTGAAGGACAGAACCATTCAACGCAACAGGATGAGATGCTGCCAGCGATGCCCTTTCACCAGAGCACAAACGCCTTCTCAAAGCAGAGGCTTTCTGATGTACACAGGCTCTCTGCATAACAGCATTCATATCTCTGTTCTCATAACAGCATGCACATCAGTAACTGTGCCAGCACTGATTTATAAGGAGCTGGTATATGCTGATTGGAATGATTTTCTTACAAAATCACTGTGGATTAGATCCCTGTTCTTGCCTTTTCAAGGGTCCTCTATCCTGACAACATATGCCAGTTTGAACTGGCTTCCTTTTCACTTCTGAAGCTGTTTGGATTTGAAGGGTTCAGCCTACTAAATTGTGTGTGTGTGTGTGTGTGTGTGTGTGCGCCCTCGTCACATGTCTGTACACAGCTCAATTTGCAGCTGAAGCTCAGGGGTCGAGTGTAGAAGGGTCACCCCTGGATGAGGCGCCAGCCAGTTTGGATCAGATCAAAAGCTGTATTAACCCTCCTCCTGAACTAAATGTATCCTCAGGCCCTGCACCCATTACCAAACCTCTGCTCCGATTCAAATGTCATTTCTGCTGGTTCCTGTCTGATCACTTCTAGTTCCTGTCCAGGACCAGGGCAAACAGACAGCATCTGGCCACATGCTGCGGATTCACAGAGCATGAGGTAGTGGCAGGTATGGAATGGAGGCCTGGGTGTGGAAGGGCCCCTTCTTCTGCATTTTAACCCCCAAATCATGTTATGCTTTACAAATTAAAGGCTGGCAGCACAGCTCATGTCAATTAAGTTTCCTGCAAACAAGGGGTTGTGCATTAAACTTGTCTCCACACTTTTACAAAACAATGAATTTCAAGACAAGTCAACCGTTGGTATTATTGACTAAGACCACAGTATGGTATTTAATTTGTCCCATACAGCACTCCAGTTTAAACTGGCCAGAGTGGACTGCCATGTTGGGTAGTAGTTCCCAGTGAGATTCCAGAGGAATTTCCTTTCAATCTTATACCAGTCATATCTCAGATCTTTCTGTACAGATGTTGGTACACCTCTGTGCATAGATGACATCCAGATTGCTGTTTGGGTTTTTTAGTGTATGATGTATCTTTTGCAGCTGTAACAAATAAAAGAGTAAGAGTTTAAGGACACGCCTCTTACCCTAGCCTAATGTAAAATCCAACACCTGGCAGCAAAGAACTTGAATGACACTCTGAAGAGGGTACCTGGTATCCTGGTGTCCTAAAAAGTAACTCAAAAATGGTAGAGTCTTGGCTATAACTAGTTGAGTTCCGAATCTACCACCAGAAAAAAGTGAAATAATTATTGCACAAATAAGGAGGAAATTGTAAAGTAGAAGGGAGATACTAGTCACTACTGCATATAATGATGGGAAGACATACAGTATGATGTTTTAGTTCTAGTGTCTAGCTGCAAAGCTTGAAAAGGTACAGAAAATATCCACAAGAATCAGGCTTGAAAAACATCAGTAAGTACAAGGTATTCAGCTTCTCTCAGACAAGAGATGATTTGATACCAATTTATAGGGAACTTCACAGATGAAGGAAGCTGCTAAGAACCATTCCCTTCAGTTCCAGAATGACCCATGAGATACTGTGATTTTAGAAAGCCCATAAAGAAAAGAATGAGCAATCTAACTGTAATTGTAGCTAAGTACTGGAAGAACACACTGAGGGTTTTTCCTTTACTGTACTTTTCAAAATCAACCATTTATCTCTTTATAAAGGATGAGGTGTGGCTGTAGCAACAGAGTGCCATGCAGTAGTGTTAGGCGACTGTTGGGAGCGGGTGAAGCTTGCAATCTACAGCGGGCTGAACTACACTGTAAAACCAAATCACTAAACTGCTGATGGAGTTTTGATTCTGGATCTGCAACTGGTGCATTTGGGATGTGTCTGCTGTGGGTAGTGGTACGTTTGATATGGAATTCTGCTTATACGGGATGTTTAACAGGTTTGTGGTTTACCTACTGTTAATCACTCCCTCCCAAAAAAGCAGTAAGGCAGATGAACTGACCTTTCTTTTCTCACCTTGGAGAAAGATATCAGCCCTGGAAGAACAGAGTCCTGAAAGCAAACAGTGTTCTGAGCTGCTAATGTCATTACAGGGGCTGGAGAGCTTCTCTGCACTGGAAGTGGTGTGCAGGATATGTATATAACATGTTTTATCATATACTGGCCTGGAATAGACAGCACTGGATATGCCCCAAACAGACAGATCCTGGTCCTACCCGCGCTCATGCAGCCAGGCACACCAGAGGGAGCATGAATGTCACCGCTAAACTTAAGAGCATTTTCGCAGTGAACACAGTGAAAGAGAGTGAACGGCACAGGGGGTCACGCTGCGCGCACACACACACACACACACACACACACACACACACACACGGTAGTGTCCACCTGCTATCTACTAGAGTCACATACGTGCTCACAGACAGATAGATCCCCATCACAAAGAGCTGCTTAAACCAAACCAGAAATACTAACTGCTCCAAGTCTGGAGAGAAGGAACAACTTATCTAAACAAAACTGACAGGTGAGAGAGAACCTACCCAGCACACTTGAGTTAGAGGGATTCAGACTGCAGGTTTGTAATCATTCTCTTTCTGGAGTTGAAGGTACAAATCCCAGCATGGGGAATCTGTAGCTATCCTGCACAACTGCAAGGTCAGGACGTGGACGGGAGACGACATGCTGAGTTCAAAGCAGGCAGACAAAAAAGCCGCCTTACCACATTTGCTTTCTTGGTAACAGACTGTAACAAAAGCGTGCTGAGGAGGAATGGCTAGGGGTAGGAAAAGGAGAAACAGCAGATGTTGCTAGTGCAGCTCTCCAAAAAGCTTAATACCAGCAACTGCTCTGTGATTCCATCATTACACCTCATCTCACTCTTTTAATTCCATGTCACCTGTCTTTGGCTTCTGATTTGCTTGTCTGTGCTGAATAGCCTGCAATTTCCATTGCTGCCCTCAGTTCAGGTGAGAAGCCATAGCGATGTTAATCACAGCTGCATGGCTGAATTGAGGGGACTGATGTTTTCATAACCAGAGCTCTTGAAAACACAGAAAGAACTGAACAGCAGACTCTGGTCTCCTTGGCAGAGCACTAAATGGAGAACATGCTAACATTTTCCAAACATGCATACTATTTACTGGAAAATGGTTTGATCAAAGCTCCTTAAATTTGTGTCAAATTGATAAACTACTTCCAGCAAAAACCTTGCAGTTGCTATTTTTCTTTTTTTTACTTTTTAAAACAGAACATTTCAGTTTTCCTTTGAAATTACATTACACTTTATTTTTTTTCCTGAGCCCAGCTTGGATGTATCAACTGTTTAATTAGATCAGTTTTTTCTTTTCTGTTTTGCCAAAAACGTCTCAAATTTCTGCTCCAGAACATTTAAAAAATTTACTGAAAATATTCTTTCAGTTATTGGAGGAAAGAGGAATTTTTCAAAATCATTTTTCAAAATTGTAATTGGTTAGCAAACTGAAAAATTAATTGGCTCCACCATTCTAATTAACTGCATCATTTACATGATGTTTCCACACACCAATGTAAGTTTTATTAGTTGCTTCTGGAGTCAATCCTCCTTGCAACCAGCACCAGATGAGAACAGGCACACAGCAGAGTCCTGGTAGGACAAAGACATTTTCCTGGCAGGTTTGACTAAGGTCCTGCATGAGACATAAGCCAACGGTGGAACAAGGCTGTAGAGCAAGTTTGCTTGGGCTGGTGGTCCTGAGATTATTTCTCATCATCATCATCTTACTTATGAAACCGCTTCAGTTTCAAATTAATTTTTTCTGCTCTGGATTTAGTGTCGCGGCACCTGCCTCAAAAGGCGAGCGGAGAAGACAGCAATCAGAAGACTGAAAGGCTGATTAGATTGGTTCTGTGTAACCCTAATTGAAACAACCTTCTGCAGCTCACAGCGACACTTGCTGAACTGCAATAGAGTCCTGTGTTCTTGCTAAGCCAGTGAGAAGCTTCATTAGTAGAAAGGAAAAGTGACTCCTGTTTCCCTTCAATCTAATCATGGAAGCACGGAGGCTGTATGTACAGAATTTCTCCTTCTAAATTGTTTATCCCACATGAATTAAGGTGCTGAGCAAAGTCTAAGGTACTAAGATAAACAATCCATCTAAGCATTTCTT